GTACGAACAAAGAAAGGAGCCACCTAAACACCCAATACAGCGTGAAATTCTGTAAGGGCCAGTGAAAGGGATATATAAAGCAACTGCCGTATTGTCAGCGGTTGTTTGGTCACTAACAGGTGGAGTGGCAATTTGGTCCTTGCCACACCAGAAAATAATTGAAGGACATGAGTGCCGAGTGGCTTACCCTGGACAGGTGGAGCTTGAAGGTATGAAAGTCACAGGGCTCAAGAACCGGGCTGTGGCCTACGGCTGCACAGATGAGACGCAACTTGGCGCTTGACAGTGCCAAGTATATACTGAAACCTGCGCCAGGCTCAATGTTTTGTTGTCATTCAGCACTGTTGCTACAATGTTCAAGATTGCCAGTGGGTGATGACAAGCCCTTTGGCAGGTGTGCTGAGTATTTTGTTGTTGTTTTTTCAGAATGCAGGCCACCCTGAAAGCATTTACATTCGGACGACTATGCAAGCCGACAAGTCTTACATCAGCTTTACACTTGAGGTTTGATTTGTGAGTTCTCCGCTTGTCAATATTTCCCAGGCAGGTTAATTTGGAGAGGTTATTGCAGTTCACATTTCCTCTAGACCTCTAGGTAAACTTCCCTTAGTCAAGAGCTGAAAACGGACAGGCATCAAAGGGCTGAAAGTTTGAACAAAGAGATATCAATGGTATGCTGTGGAAACACTCTTGTTGTGCCTCCTCTCCTAGGAATGTATATAGGTTGGAGGCCATCGCTATTAGGTTGAAGGTTGTATTAGGTCGCCTCTCATGTTGCACATTGTTGCGCACTGTCGAACGTCGCTATGGTTGTCGAGGATCGATGAGGCTTTGGATGAGGAAAACCCCAAGATGGCTTTAGCGCAGCTGATATTGGATGCTCAGCAACAAGAAGCTACTAGGGTGGAGGCCACCGCTATAAAAAGTTTTTAAGTTGAAGGCCATCGCTACTAGTACCAAGAAGCTACATGTAGCGGAAAGGAACAGTCAAAAGCCGAGGTTTCGGAAAGGCAGCTATGTGGGACTAATTTCTGGTATGCCCGAGGGTCGGTCCCCAGTGGCATGAAGTGGCAAAACTGAGGACCGGCTACTGAAGGACCGTTGCAAACTCTAGAATGTAATATTATAAAGGCTTTTGCGTTGTATACTTGAAACCTGATAATTCTCTATATACATAGTATACTACTGTATATTATCTTAATCGGCACAGTGGACTCAAACTAAATGTGCCTTGTGGAGTTGCACACTGGAGGTGATTGTGAGGGTACAAGATGTTTCACTATTCAATGTGTAATGAAAGGTCCTCTTACATATGAAAGCAGCGATGCTTTGGCGTTGAGTTCCGCATATTCCAGTGCTTTTGCCGTTGGCTGGGATTCCAGACGAATCTGACATTGCAAAGACATTCAATCCACTCTTTCAATCTTGAGAGTGGATGGTTTCGCCTGATTCTTGAAGTGGCCAAGATCTACCTAAAGGCAATCGGATCAGCCAGTTAGCCAAGATGAGCCCCATTCTTGTTTTACAATTCCCTTGGCTGGGAGGGAAGAAGTCCTGTATATATTGCCAATTCCTGCACCATCCAGACCCTGATGAGTTTGATAAGATATTGCTGTGTATCTACACACACTTGTTGGTGTTTTCTGTAGTTTCTTGTGGTTTGTTTGTTTATGTTTATGTTAAGTTTGATTGTGCTCCTCCAAGGATGTTGCGCGGGATGCTCGGGAGGCCCTGCTGGAGATGCGCCTCACCGAGCTGAAACAACATGCCCGAGAGATGGGCATCAGCGAGGAAAGAAAGGGTGAGCATCTTGACAACTTTTGAACCACAACGTGATAAGTACTTTTGTAATTAGCCACCTAATTAAGTCTTGGATATATATACTATTTGGACAAGTTTTCGGAATGTGTCACGTTATGCTTTTAATTGTAGCAGTAGAATAAGTGCTTGTGAAGTTGCCACCAGCAGCCATATATGGCGAGGATACACACTGGGGTCGGTTTTCAGCGTGAAAGGTTTTCTTTCAAACGGACAGGTGATCATTTCTGGGCAAAGGTACAAACACCTGGGTGTTGTTGTTTTCATCATTCTAGATGAATAGCTGAGGCGTAAATAAGCAAAGTGCTGCAAGAACATAGACAATCAGGGAGTGCATGACGGTTAATGATGTTTGTGATGTCGAGCATCCGAACCTGAAGTCTTTGCAGGACATCATTGAGGCAGCTGAGGACATGGAGAATCCCAAGGCGGGCCCCACATGGTTCAAGCATCAGATTTCAGACATAGTTCCTCATGTAGAGAGTGCAACTTTTGCAGAGAAATAGGCATGATCACCGTAGTGAAAGGTGTTTTGTTCCTTTAGCCCGCTCCCCCCTACCTATTTAATTATTACAGTATAAGTAAGCGAGTGAACACGCTACTAGGCTAAGTTAGCTTCTAGGTAGGACGCAGGATAGCGCTTGCACTATATAACAATAATTGTTTTCTAGATTTTTTGGGCAAACTTAACATTCTGCAGCTTTGTTTATTGTAGATCTAGGACCCAACACTGGAAGTTGAGAATACCCACGAACATCCATGAAACAGGGCAGAGGCAACGTTGTTTTATCCTCCCCAGCTACCGGTCACACATGCCAACAAAGTATTTGACTCTCATTGCGCCCGATTCTTCCAAGCACAGAAGGCAAGGGTCGGGCTGAGTCCACCCACCACCCGGAACCATGCTGGAATCACCTCAATATGGATGTTTGCTATACTCTGGCTCCCCTCTATCCAAGCTTCCAAGACACCAACACTGGAACGAGATGTGCTGAATGTGTGCCCTGTATAGATAGGTGCCAAATGTGTTGCAAGACATGCACTTAGTTGTCAGAGCTCGAAAACAGACTTGACGAAGATGCGCAAATGGACCTCAGGCCGCTTTGATTTTGGCAATTTTTGCAAGCAAGAATGAGCGCCTCAGATGCACATGTTGCCACTGCTTGGTCTCCCGGAAAAGTCAGGTCTTGAGCGTTTGTACATGACACAGGCGACATGAGCCCCCCTTATTCTACTCTATACATACACAACTCCTGTAATTGTTGGACCTCTCAGCATCGTGACATCAGAAACTTGTCTCGGGTGTGCATGCAGGTTGACAATTGTAATGTAAGCATTTGTCGGTGTTGAGATCTCATCTTAGTTGCTCGTGAAGTTCAATCATTCATATTTCACAAGCATGCAGCATGTCCCTTGCCTTTCGCTCAGGGATGCTCCTGTCAGCGAACCGGAGGCCGTGAGCGCGTGTCTCCCTCACGTCCAAAGACTCAAAAGGAACAAATACTGTCGCGACCCTCCTGCCAATCCACTCCATTGACTATTGATCCAAGGATGCACAATCTAGTCTATGAGTCATGCAGGAAATGCGTTTGCCGGATACCAAGAGCTACCTATTTGGAATGAAGCGCTCATTGGAATCATGTGACTTGACATTACGTGACACCTAGTTGGCAGAACAGAAGGCCTGGTTCTTGGACACACCAAAGTTGATAGAACTACCGAAACTTCGGCAAGACTAGCCGAGAGCATGCCTCAAACATCCTCAAACATGTCTTCTCAAGTGAGCGTATCGTTAGTGATCATGGCGTGTCCGCTTCATGCCTCATTGCAGGTGCGGGCTGAATATGCAAGGGAGGCGCGATCTGCCAAGTATCAGGCAACAAACACGGAAACGGCCCTAGAATGTTCACATTGCCAGGAGTTCTGGAGGGATTGGAAAACTTGAGCCAACCATCGCCGTTGGACATGTCGTTGCTGGTTGTCATAACGTCAGCTTTTGGGTGATTCGATTGCCAAAGCCTCAAGGACCTTGGCACCCACTTCTCTTGGTCCTACAAGGCTAAAGATAGGAGGTTTTGACAGAAACATCCGACACAATACCTGGTCTTACCTACTTGGTCAAGGCTGAACTTCAAGCTTTCAATTATGAGACCTTCATAATCGGGCCTACAGGACCCAAGAGCTCCGCGCCAAAAGGAGGTGCCCCTGACACATTGACTGCGAGTGTGGCAACTAGACTGTCAGATGTGAGAACCTGAGAACCAGGAAGGGGCTTGCAGACAACTTTGTGGTCGCATAATTTGTTTGCAGGAAAAGGCAGTGGCAGGACTGCAACGCACGATGCCAGGATGCGAGCCAAGACCCTGGCCCCCACCAGCTAGGTGCAGCTACGGGCGGCTTGGGGGCTGCACCTTACTCCCAGCACTGACTAAGTGTCAAGATAGGTATGAATGGAAATCAACCTCGCATCATTCATGCAGCGCCTAGATCATTGCGATTGACGGGTAGTCCCACCAGGTCCCGGTGCCTTTGGCTTGGCTTGGTGGCACCTTGGCATCAAGGTCGATTTGATGCATAGCAGCCTTGTTGTCTCAAATGATCGATACTCAACCTCAAGCGGCCGAAGACGTGCCAGACAACAAAGGCTGGTTCGAGCCATCCCTTTATTCAATAATGTTGACACAAATCACAATGCATAGTTTGAATCATTTGGAAAAAGAAAAAACCATGAACAAACTCAGACGATAAGACAACGTATTTTGGCAACAACGTCAATGACAATGGTTATTTGCAGTAAGGTCGCGGGATTGGAGGTCGCCTCCCCATATCTCTAATATTATTCCTTAATCACCAAGAATGATCTCGTTTGTATACTTTAACTGTAGCCACTTTGAAGAATTTGATAGCAAGCCTTCACACAAGGCTCAAACCCCTAGTCTTTGTCTTCATACAAGTCGTGCTGCAGGCTAGAGTGTTTAGAAATTCAATCATGGAAGCCTTGTCCTGTCTTGCTACATATCTTTTCTGCTGTGTGAAGATCAGTTAGTGGCAGGTAGAAGCGAACAAAAGAAGACTCTTTTAGAAGAATCATGCAATGGGTCTGGTGAAGAAATGTCAAGAACTTGTTCATGGAAAGGATTACAAACATGTAACCAATAGCACTTTCCCAATGGCAGAATGCACCGATTTGTTCAATGGCACATGGCACAGCACAGATGTAGACTTGTAGCTGGTAAATCATGCTAGATGGGACGGCGGAAGGAGCCAACACCTTATGATTCCCGCTTCGTGCGGAAGCGGCAGAAACAAAGACAATATTGGAAGAACCAATGCGCTCTTCTGCGGCGACGCTTGGCGGAGGTACAAGCTCGCAAGGTTGCGGGCAGGATAGAGTCAATTTGGTTTGTCCGAGTCGCATTCGCTGATCCAAAGATATCAATCATTGGAGAGTTTTTGCCGGGATTTCTCGGAAGAAGAGGTCAAAGCAATCAGCAAATCTTACATCGGCCCTGTGCGTAATGCTTTTTATGAAATTATCAAGAAGATTTCTAGGCAGGCTTTGCCTACCAGTGTGTCCCTGTTCAGTGCAAGTGGGCCTGTGGAGCAAAGATCAGGAAAGGAAAGAGTCCATTCCCCTTTTTTGCTGCTATATCCATGATGAGACTTTGATGCGCATGCGATCTTTCACTCCTTTGAGTGTGGATAGACTTGTGCGGGGTCGGTCCAGCAAAATACAAACTCATGTTGTCACACTGCGGCAGACAGATTTTCTTCAAGAGTTCTTTTCGGAATTGATACCACTGGCATGCAAAGATACGGATACTATTTGTCAATCTTTTATTGATGTTGTCATTGAGATTTACCAGAGCATTTCTTGCGCAAGTAGTGACAACTGGGAACAACTCAGGTTTATTCATCTTCTTACATCAGATTCTGTGAGCGCAAACCTTGCTGCGGCAAAGCGGCTGTGGGCTTCTTTAGGGCCTTTGAAGAGGAAGAACGGCTTGCGTGTCAGGTATTCCCTATTGTTTTGGTTTTGTAGTAGCCATCAGGCAAACCTCGTTACACAGAAGAAAATGCTACATGGAAGAACTGCAAGTGCTACATGGAAGAATTGTGGGATTTTACTTCTTTGTGCATTTTCTATGTTTGTTCGCCCGCTAATACGGGCAATTTCATATTAAAAAAGAGACATTTTGGTTTCCGGTGCCTGTTAGTGGCGAATAGTGACGATTTGAGACATATTAGTGGAAATTAGTGGCGAATAGTGACCATTAGTGGCTCCTTAGTGGAAAATTGTGGCAAATAGTGGCACGAGCGGTTCAGCCAGATTTCATTTCCACACGCGTGAGGACCTTCCGTGGCTTGGTCGATGATTGCGCGAGGCTTTTGGTTGAGACAGCTGAGACAGTGGAGCTTCAGCCTCGGCAACGCAAACCCAAAGCTGCGGGAACGACAGTTGATAGCTCGGACGCGACGAAAGACGAGTGTCTACACAAGGGCATGTGCTCTGACTCTGACATGGAAAGTGTTGCTTCTACCTGTCTCCTTTGCGAATGCTCAGAAACTGCTTGGTGATCGATCACAAGCTTCAGCCATTCTAGAAGCTTGCTTTCGAGAGTGCGCCTCGTTAAAGTTGCCCTTGCCTCCTGTCTTTGAGAGTTCTCTGCTAGAAGAATTGTCCCAGTTTGACGACAAGGACTGCTCGAAGCGCAGCTCCCGGGTTTTGCTGTGTCGTCGTTTTTTTAAAACCGAGTTCTATAACATCGCCAACACCCTCGACAGGAAACCATGGCGACCTTGCTACGCACTTTTGGTCTCGCGGTGGTGTCTAAAGGCCAAGGTCCAGTCTGCGCCTTGCTGCGGCAGTTCCACGAACAACTCGTGAAGGACAAGGAAGCCACGGCCAAGGGAAACGAGCAAACTGACAACAAGGATGGCCAGCAGGACACTGAGAGCAAGCCTGGTAGTGAGACGGCTGCGCCGGTGCGGCCTGAGTTTGTTGTGGGTGAGGTGGTGAAAACCATCTCATCCATTCACAAAGACCGTTTGCGTGACAAGAAAGCAAAGGTCGTGCAAGTTTTGAGCAAGGAGTGTCGTGTTGAGTTTCTCGAAGGCGAAGCTCGAGGAGAAATCAAAGATTTTCCCAAGGCGAGGCTGACTAAGTTTGCAGAAAGCCCTAAGCGCTCGCCGGCTGGGGACCCTGCCCCTGAAAGCGCAAAGCGCGCACGGGCAGAAGCTTTGTTTGGTGCAGATGCGGACATGATTTAGGACGACTGCGCAGCCGGAAAAAGCTGAAGTCTGTGATTTGCCGCTATCCGCCGCTAATGAGCCGCTAACGTAACATGTCCAGACCTAAAGAAGGGTTCCAGCCTTGGAAACATAAGAGTGTTCCACCAGCTTCAACTCTTCTACCCACAAGCATCCTGCAAACCAGCTGCTCACCTACTTCAGGGAACAAGGCCAGAGCAGAGAATATATAGTAAGGGCTAACGCCCTGGTGCCGCCGACCCCCATTTTTGCAGCCGAAGCAGGTGTGCAGTCGCCGTGGATTTGTTCAGTTTTACCCCAAAAGTTGAAACTCACAGCATGCAGAAAGAAAGCTTGCCAAGTCAAGAGCGAACGCAAAACACCAGGGGACAAGCCCCAGGTAGCTGCCACAAGCAGCCTGTGGCCGGCTGCCCATGGACCACGCCGAAACCTCGGTCGCGCCTCAGCGAAACACCCTGGCCCTGAAGGTTTGAACGGAGCAGCACGCGAGCGCGTGTCTAACGTCGCCTGGACCAGGACAAGCCCAAGGTAGTTGTTGCCTGGACCTATGCATAGCGGCGTGCTCCGAAAAGAGCAGGGGCCAGTGGAAGTGCTCCGCGCGCGATGCCCAGAAACGTGTGGAAGAGTTCCAAAGATGGGCGCAGCGCCACGGTGCACAAAATGGCAAACAAGCCTGCGATGCGTGCGCAGATCGCAAGTGGAAACGCAGTGTTGCAGCCACCGCCGCAGAACGGCTCCGGAACACGCGCAAACGAGTCGAGATCGAGCGTCGCCAGAGGCTGGTGGCGGAGACATGGGCAGAGATTGCGGCGAGACAAGGACAAGCAACGGAGGGGACACAAAAGAAACGCAAGACGGAGATGCCGAAGACAAACGCAAAAGAAGACGGAACAGAAACGACCCGGAAGGGTCTGCAGATGTGCGTGGCAAACAACGCCCTGCGGAGGCACGCCAACAATACCCAAACTCGAACACCTACCCAGGTCACAGCTGCAAGGCCTGCCGCAGAGGGTTTGGGGTGCCTTATGGTAGGTGCTAGCTCCAGAGGACAGGGTGCCTAACAGCAGCGTCGAATGCCTAACGTCGCCTGGAACGTTGCGTTCGGAAGCCCAGAATATGCAGAGGTGCTGGCCGAGCACGAGCGAGAATGCCTAACGGCCTGGAACGGCGCGGTAGGTGCCAGACAAAGCCCAGGTAATGGCCACAGGCAGGTCTTGCTGAGCAACTAGCCGAAAGCAAGTTGAGCCACCGTTTCACCCTGCGGTGTCCCAGGCGCCGCCCCGCCTAGGCGTCAGCTAGGGGTCGGCGGATATATATTTTTTTGGTACACTTTTTTTAATAATTAGTCGTAGTCTTCATGGCCAGTGCCCTCTGCTGCTTGCAGTCAGAGGTATTTGAAGTCAGAGGAGGACCAGAAGCCATGTTCACGATAGTTGTATTTGCATGAGGGCAATGAGACTGTGGAGCTTATTGTCAGTACGTATTCCTGCGGTTATACAATCAGTCAGTCTCATATTCTAAATTTCCTGGAGCGAAACTCAAAACATCTTAAACCTATCTCTTGAAGTCTGAGACTTTAGGACAGCTCAATATCCTCCCGCAGCTTGAGCCCCGACTCCTTAAATCCGGGGCCACAGGAAGACCCCGAGCAGCACGAGTTTGAGGGATCCTTTGCAGTTCCTCCAGGTCCGGGTCACTTACAGGCATGGAAGGGTGCCGTTGGTGAGGACTTCGGATAGTGGCAACAGGCAAGGCGGCAACTGTATGCAAATGTAACTGAGGTTTTGTCTATATAGATGTTGTCTATAAACATGCTGTACGTGTTTCAAGAAGCATCAGCAACCATATGTTTGTTTGTGTACGCTTGGGGAGAGCTCAGGAATTTGCTAAGATCACGTGCCTATATTGCCACGAGTGTCATGAGCTTTGTGAGTGCACGAGTTTTTGTGCTCACCGCCTTTTTGGTTTCAAGCTCTGAAGGTGGGCCGCCCACGGGCGATTGGGCCGCCCAAGGGTGGGATGCCTGGCCCTTGGATTTACCTCCCTGACAACCTCGAATACTTCCGAGAGTTGTCGGTTGCCGAGGGAGGATACGTTGAGTTGTATCAGTTCGATGATGAAGGTCAGCGCCAGGAAACAGCATTGTGGCAGATCGAGCACGTCATCGAAAAGAAGAAGGAGGGCTTGTGGCTTAGCGCGCGGCTAGTTGCAGCCCATGACCCTCATTTGTGTTGGCGGTTGTCCAAGGGCCCAGGCAAGGATTACAACAGACATTTCACTGTGCATTTGTGCGCAACGCCTGCGGGCGGGTGTCGAAAGACCAAACGACATCGTGAACAAGAGTTCCATTCGGATACGTTCCGGGATGTCAGTACGGGTGATATTTTGGCAAGGAGAATCTCCTGGTTCACGGAAGAAGCTGTCAAGAAGGACATTGAAGCAGAAATTGCCATTCTCGGTGGTACCACCACACCAGCTGAGACAACTCCGGCCGCCCGTCCGGGAATCCTACGCCCTGGGCGTCTTGATTGGGACGTTGAAGAACCGACAGCTGCGCCTGAGGGCGAGGATATTCCTGCAAGATTGGCTGAGTTGAAGGCCGCGGTTGCAACCAAAGCTGGTGACACAAGTCCAGCAGCAGTTGTCCCTAAGGGGAAGACAGTGAAGAAGGATAATAAGGGCACGGCTACGGCCGGGGATGCCGACACAAAGTCTCGCAAGAAGGCAAAGAAGACAGAGCCTGAAGCAATTTGGTTTGGTCATCGTCGCAAGGCGTCCGCGGACGAGGATCCATCAAGTGACGAAGATGAAGTCCCTACGGGGAAGGAGGATGGTGATACTGGTGATGGCCCTGAGGGGGAGACCAAGCGCGGCAAACGTAGAAAAAGGAAAGCCCGAAAGGGTAAGCCCAGTGGCGCGAGCTCAAAAAAGAAGCGCCGGGGGGACAGAGGTCCCTTTGGTGTTGGTCATCGGGTTCACTTCAATGACACCAAATCGGAGTCAAAGAGTTAATTCTGGGTCGGATTTTCAGGCGGGCCCCTCCACAAAGTCACGACAGCTTCAGCTTCTGGAGTACTCGGAGCAGCATCCGGGACGCCTGGCACCGAGGCTGTTACAGAGGATGGAAGAAATCCTCGCTCGGCAGGAGGGGCCCATGCTGACAAAGACCGAGCGGAACATGACTCCAGCCACGGCGACCTCCTACTTTCTGACCGTGCTGCTGCCGCAATACCGAGACAAACTAAACCTTCGGACCAGTCGAGAACTCAGGACGTTGTGCAAAACGCTCGACCTGATGGTTGCGAGCCACAGAGTCATCTCGGCTGACCCCCTGTTGGTCTCTGAGCACCTGCTTATGGCGTTCTAGTTTCCTCCGAAACGTGGGGTCTCCAGACAGATACCTGCAGAGCTGGTCCCACCGGTCCTCTGTATATACAATAGGACCATATTGATGGTACGGGCGATAGCCACGGAAGTAATAGAGTCTGAGTAGGTCCTCAGGAAGCCTGGTCAGTCCATATCGGGGAGAGAGCAGGTTCCACCCTACACGGGACATGGCCACCCTCAGTCCAGAGGTTAGCCAGTGCGCCACTGCAGCGCTTTCTGTTTGGATGCTGCCCTGCTCAAAGTTTCCTAGCGCTGTCGCTAGCCTAGTGTAGCGTATGACAAACCGTCCAAACCCTTGCGCAAAGGCATAGGTGGGTTCCGCGACTGCGTCTTCGTCCTCAGTCGCTTCTTCTGCTTCTGCTTCCGGCAGTTCGGGGCCTCCTACTGGCACCGGCTGTGCATACCTGGGCGACCGCTCTTTTGATCCACTTGCAGGAGAATCTGTGTCCGACCCTTCCGACTCGGGGTCTGCTGGGGGATGTTTAGCCTCCGCAACGTTTCTCCATAACGGGACTTCAATGCGCAGTTTCAATTGCAGGAGGGATGGGAAAGACATAGCTTGCTGGCCCTCGGAAAGGTAGAGACAGCGGGAGACATCGCGTCACAGCGGATCAAGGCACTCGAGCTGTACCTGTCGGATCAGGCCTGGAGTCGAGCGCAGCACCTGGAACTCATTCCCCCCCGAGGGGGTGAACCTAGTGGGCAAGGACGAGACGCTCATGGCCACGAAGGAACAGGCAACAGAGCAAAAGATGAAGCTCATGATCACCGGGCAACAGTGGAAGGGGCAGGAGAAGGGAAGGAGCCCCTTCCACGAAAAAGGAAAAGGAAAGGGCAAGGAAAAGGGGAAGAAAGGAAAGGGGAAGAGCGAGAACGCGGTCGACACGGCACCCACAGCCTGATGACCTTTCCTCGATGTCGGACATAGATGACAATGACTTCCTCATGCCGTATGGAAAGCCCACCAGTGAGGACCAGAGACCTCCACTAAGGCGGAAACCAGTAGGATCTACCCCCGCGGGGGAGGTTGTGAAAGACACACCGGAAGAAGTGGTCGACGAGCTCATGGACATCCTGGACGGGTGTCCTATCAACCTGCAGGAGGTGGACATTGAACCATGTGAGTCCATCAGAGAGTGGACGATGACAGTCCGTGAGGTTTTCAAGCAAGGTACAACCTTTGAAGATCTGGGGCGTCACATCTATGCGATCATGATCATGAGTCCAACCCCGCTGGGAAATTTCGTTCGTTCCTATTGCATGGCTGCACAGCCCTCCACCTCACCTCAACAGCACCGGGGAACCTCAGGTGATCTTCTGCCAATTCCTCCGTGGAGTGTCACCGTGGACATTCCGGGTGTTTCGGAGGAGAACCTAATGTGGGTCCAAACTATTCTATGTGTGATCAATTTCCATTATTGTGTCGGCTGGGGCAAGCCGGTGTGTATCCCAATTTCAGAGGAGCTGTCAGGGCTACAAATCACAGCCGTCGAAAAACTGGGAAAAGTGGTGACGAGCAACATCATCTCGGGAACACCACTGAAGACACTAGGGGAGAGCGAGAAGCTCCTGAACTCAAAGAAATATGATTACTCGGGTAACCCGATTGAGTACATGGACCTTGAGTGTGAAAGGGTCCTATCAGCCTGGCCGCGGCCAGGACAAGCTGGGGTCCAGCCAATAGAGGCCTTCCTCAAGGAGGAAACAAGGAAAGCTCTGAAGGAGCCATCGAAGTTGCTTCTGCCACCGGACAAAATGCCGGAGCAAGGGCTGAGATCACGCGTGCGCGCGAGTGACAAGGAGTGGTTCAAGTTGGTATATGCAGCACATCAAAGGGGTATGATGAAGCCTGTTGATGACAATCTTGTCCCGCGGGACCGTCAAGGGCACCTCATCACCAACGGAGCAGGTGGGGTCTACAAGGAGAAGATCATCGATGGGAAAGCTCTGCCAGCGATTCATGTCCATACTGTGCCCGATCAACGCTATCATGGAGGGCATTGCGGGGTCTCAGGATACGCTTCCATACATCGGCCAGCTGACAGGGATCCTTTTGGAAGAAGACGAGGGGCTTTACCTGGACAGTGAGGACCTGCAATCGGCCTTCAACTTGTTCGCGATGCCTGACTGCTGGCTACCGTACCTGGCATACAGTAAGAAGTTTGACTCAGCTGCCTTTGGACTTCCGCCTGGCACCCTAATGCGCCCTGCACTAAGTGTGGTGCCCATGGGGTGGCACTCGGCAGTGGCGCTGGTACAAGAAGCCGTCAGAAACGTCGTGTTTGAAAAGGCAAGGATCCCCAGGCAATACTCCATTGAGAAGCGAAGGCGGCTGCCCGAGGAAAAGATCTTTACAATTGTCTATTTGGACAATTTTGACGAGATCCACGTAGTCAAATCGCTCGACTTGGAGCTGCAGCAGGAGGGTGGTGAATTGTCGCCCCATCACTCACAGTTCATTGCGGCGTGCGATGAGGCTGGACTCCCGCGAAATTTGGGGAAGCAGCTCATCCATGCCTTCGCTGGAGGCCTGCAAGGCGGTGAACTTGATGGAACAAGAGGAGTGCTTAAGCTGGCGGCGGACAAGCTGCGCTGCTACATTGAGCTGAGCCTGGCCCTCCTGTCACGCACGAGGTGGTCGGAGTTCTACTTGAGGCATTGGACCGGGAAGACTGCTTTCCTGGCCACCTTCAAGCGATCGATGTTCTCAGGCATTGCCAATATCTTCACTGCCATCGAACTGTCACGAAAGGGACCAATCAACCCGACGCCTGAGGTGATTGATGAGATCATGTGTTTGATGATTCAGGCCCCATTGGCTGAGGTCAACCTCAAGGCAGTTATCTCTCCGGAGATCAGCTGCACAGATGCGTCGCCCACAGGCGGGGGGAGTGCTATCGCAACAACCTTCAAGGACGGACCCGAACCTCATGGACCATTGGCCTTTTTTGATGGACGGTGTCAGAGTTGTGGGCATGATTTTTCTGCAAACATCCCAACCAAGTCTGAAGGTCGCAAGCAATATCCATGCTCGGTCAGTTGTGGAGCAATCCTGTGTTCCGTTCGCTGTTCAATTCAGCATCGCAAAGCCGGGTGCGCCCGCGATATGTTCGCCTGCCCTTTGTTTGGTGAGCGTTTCAGCGGCCCCAACTATCCCCTAACCAAGGCTGTGGCCCTTGCTGGCATCGGTGTGCAACCGCCATTGGACATCTTGGTCGATGATGATCCTTGGGACTTCTCAACAGCCGAAGGTAAACAACGTTGGGATGAATATGAGGTTGAGCCAGGGTTGCTTAGTGAGCATTTTGCTCCCGAATGCAAGACCTTTTCGGCGGCGCGTGGAAGGCCTGCCATCACCACTACAGGGCGATGGATTGCTGGTCCCAGAGCACTCCGAAGTGATCTGAAGCCCTGGGGCCTTGACCATCTCAGCCCCCAGGAGCAAGTGAAAGTGCGGAGGGGGAACTCGATGGCCAAGAGGTCGTTGAGAGGGCTGAAAGCCGCCTTTGACGGTGACAGGTTTGGAGTTTTGGAGCACCCCTACAGTTCCCACTTATGGTCTACACCTGAAGCCATTGAGCTCGCGGAGCGTGAAGATGTGTACCACACTTATTTTTCAGCTTGCTGCTTCGGCGGGGCACGTACGAAATGGACCAGCCTGCTCCATAATGTTGCAGAGTTGCATGATGAGTTGCACAAGCCAACTTGCCCGGGACATGCAGACCTGCTACCCTATGAGATTCATGATGAAGAGGGCGGTCTTCGTTTCGATACTGAGGCTGAAGCCGAGTACACTTGGGGCCTGTGCACAGCATACGCCTGCGGCCTGAAACGAGCCATGCAGCGTCGAACGAGTGTGCCGTTTGGCCTGTGCCCATGGGATGGGCGCGCTGCTATCCTTGCGGCGTTGCAAAGATCAACCAGGGGATTGCAGCGAAATGAAGTTGCTGAAAGTGCAACAACTGAGGTGATGCGAGTCCTGAGGACAATGCGCCCAGGTAGCACCTCAGGACCATGCTTCGAGAGGTTTGCATTCGTGGGACCCGAGGTCCGGTTCGAAGCAGTGCCAGAAGATGGATCCACCACCATCTTGGCACCATATCCAGCCTTCAGATGGCAATGGAAGACAAAACTGTCCTACCCGTGGAAACATCCACAGCACATTAATGTGCTTGAAGTGTCGGCATTCCTGGTGGAGTTTCGCCGACGAGTGCGAGACCTGGCTGCCTTAGGCACCCGCTTTTTCAACATCACCGACAGCCAGGTCGGGTTTTTCACCATGTCCAAAGGTTGGAGCAAGGCCCCTCGCTTGAACCGACTTCTTCGCCGCATCAATGCGGTGATTTTGATGAGCCAAGCAATGCCGATCCACTTATGGACTATCTCGAAATGGAACTTCGCTGACGCGCCAAGTCGGCGCTTTGAGTGATTCGTATGGCGGCAAAAAGAAAGCATCTCAGCGAGGTCGGCATTGCTAAGCGTACACTTGATATATATCAGAGGGAAGTTTCACTGTTTCTGGACTACCTTGATGCATGTTCTATTGCTTATCCACAAACGTTCGTACAGTTAGACCACCAACTCGCCGAATACATCAACGTACTCTATCAGGAAGGTGAATCACTCTCTCGTGCGGGTTGGGTATTGAGTGGTCTCAAGCGCCTTTATCCCCGATGTCGAAAAGAATTACAAACTTGGTACACAAATTGGACTCGGGATCACACGCCGCAACGGGCAACCCCAATCACATGGCACATTGTCCAAGGCTTCATAGGACTTTGCATCTCCCAACGTTGGTTCTCGTTGGCTTTGACTATTTTGCTGAACTTTGTCTTCTTTCTCCGGACAGGGGAAGCCATGAATCTGAACGTGAGTGATATTTCACTGGTGCACTCCTCGTCTACTGTGGTTCTCCGTCTTGGTTATACCAAAATGTCCAAGCATTTTCAACAATTTGTTGCCTATTCTGACGCTTCCTTTTTTGCTCTGGCTGCATATCTGCTGAACAAGTGTGACCCAGTCGGGAAAGTTTGGCCTTATTCGCTTACTTATTTTCGTCGGTGCTTCTCTGCTTTGAGTGCCTTCTTTGACCTATCCAGTTGTCATTTTGTCCCTTACAGTCTCCGCCGCGGTGGAGCTACTCATTTTTATGGGGTGGACAAAGCTTTGGATTATGTCATGGTTCAAGGACGTTGGAAAGACCAGCGCACTGCTCGGCAATACCTTGATGATGCCCGTGCCACCTTGATCTCTCTTCACCCTTCCCCTTTCTCTCGTTCTCTTCTATTTCAGTTTCAACTTTCCTTGTTTTCTCTTCTTATTTCGCTCCGCAAATGACGAGGTGTCCTATGGCGGGAGGCGGTTGTGCTCTTGTGCTTCTTGGACCCCTCTTTGGTGGGGAGGTTGTTGGTGCTACATCCGTTGGTTCGTCTGCGTGTGTATATTCTTTT